AAAGTACATACCGTCAAGTTTAATAGTTTCAAAAAATATTATGTAAATCTTGCATTTGTTATAGTACCACATTTCTTGTATTGTACTTGTGATTCCGAGTATAAAATAAATTGCTAAAATCATAAGAATGCTTATTTATTAACCCTATTTAAGAGCTTCAAAATGAAAAAAAATAATCATATTCCAAAAGTTTTGAATAAGGTTAAATCATGGTCAGAAAATTTGGTCAGATAAGGTTGGCATATGGTCAGATAATGGTCAGAAAAGGTTGGATTATGGTCAGAAAAAGGTTGGATTATGTCCAAATAATGGTCAGAAAAGGTTGGATTATGGTCAGATTATAGTCAGAAAAGGTTGGATAAAGGTCATTTTATGACGTTGTATAGATGTCGGTTTCTGACGTCTAAAAAACTTTCAAATCCAACTTTCTGCCAACGTTTACCCAACGTCAGGGTCTAACGTCAGTACAACGTTGGTACAACGTCTTTTGTTTGCTGGTTTGTATTGCAATATGGTTACGTTTGTGACATTTTCTAATTACATGTATATTCTCGTTTTGATCTAAACAAGGACATGTTTGTGAATGGTTACTCTATTTCCTGATTTACATGAACACGAACACGTTTATGACATTAAATTATTATCTCATATTTTCCCTTATATCTTTTATCCTATTTTTCCTCGTAACACTGATACATTTGTTAACTTAACCTTTTCGCTGCCAGAGGGTTATTGTTTTATTGATCACCTATTTGCCAGAGGGTTTTCTAAGAAATTACTATATTATTAATTAATATAATTATTATTAATTTGCTATTAGTATTATAATAATAATAATAATAATATATGTTTCCAAATCTGTTAGTATAATAATAATTATTGTCGATGGTATAATTATTTTTATATTTATTATTATTTTTATTATTATTATTTAATTTATCATTATTACTATCATTATTTACTATCATTATTATAGAAACGGCTAAAGCCGTCCATATGGCAAATACGCCGAAAATAACAGGGACGGCATAAGCCGTCCCTATGGCAGTGAAAGGGTTAATGTATCTTAGTCTCATTTTAACTTCAGCATGGTTTCATTTTTGATGTTTCTAAATTATTTCGAAGCAGAGTTGTTCGTTCCTCACATATATCACATCTGTAATATGCTGAATGACAAAAATCTTGTCAAAACGTAGCAATTTTTTAACACTTTGACTTTAAATATAAGACCATAGATAAAATGCACAAATAGAAGCACGTTATAAAGATATGATAAATTTTATCATAATTTTTATTGGAACTTTTGTCATGTCCAAGTATGCAGATGATGTCATCCCGCAGATGCAAACAAAAAACTTGAAAGTGATTTTAATATAATTTTAATATGTGGTAGAAACATTCCTGTTTGGACCTCTGTCAGTTTGGAGGCAGTCGCCTTATTCTGGCGACATAAATCGCAAAATTATTCATTTCCAAACTGTTAACATACCAGTATGTCAGTGCGGTTTTGGGACTACTTTCTGAGCCAACTATACTAAAGCGAATGGAATAGATTATATTTTTCTTATAAGTTTCGTTTTCATCGTTACAAATATATGTTTGTTACGCGTTTTGTTAAAGTCTAATAGATTCTAGTACATTTGTTACGTTTTGTCATTGAAGTCTCGTTTGCATTGTAACATGCCGTTTGTGAAGTTTTCTTGTTGTTTTCTTGTTATTATCGTAACATAGTTACGTTTTTAACATCTTCTTCCCGTAGTTTCATTTTCAATGTTACATATAAACGTTTGGGACGTTTTCTTATTTTTTCTTCGTTTTTATTGTAATTGAAACATGCTCACGTTTTTGACGTTCTGATATTGTAGCCTCGTTTTAAAACTGAAATGGTTACGTTTGTAACGTTTTCTTATTGTTGCCTCGTTTTCGTCGTTAAACGGTTGCGTTTGGGACGTTTTTTTTCTTTAGCCTCTTTTTCACTGTTTCATAGATACGTTTGTGATGTTTTCTTACTCTCGCCTCGTTTTCAGCTCTAAGTTTGCGTAGCATCGCTTTCATCGAAACAGGGTTTGTTTAAGTTACGTTTTAATCAGGAAACGAATGCGTTTGTGAATGGTAATATTATGTTCACATTTACATGTATTAAGTTGTTGTCTTATTATCACCCTTTGATGATTTATCTAACGACAAATTGGATGTATAATTAAATCGATATTTGAATTATTCTTAATTTGTCGCACACAAGAAAAAATGAACATTTGGTTCATACTTATTGAATTATCATTATATATATACATCTAGATATGTAATACATACGATTTTATGTCTGGTTGCTTTTGAACATATTATGACATAATTCATGGAGGATATTCAAGTGTTTTCTATAAATACAGGATTTATTTTCATCTAGTGGCAAGACAATAATTATTTTATGAGTGGCGGTAGCCATGAATTAAATATGATAATTTCCATACCACAAGATGATAATAAATCCTGTATTTATAGAAAAAAAACTTGAATTGTCTGTTTATCATATAGATTTCTCTTCTTTTTTTTTTGACAATACAATTTGAAAGAAATCTCCTTAAATTATGTGTATTGTCTGAATTTAGAAGAAAGTAGTCCGGCAAGACAGCAGTGAAAAAACGGAAAGTATATTTCATTACAGTGAAAAATAGCTTTTTACAGTGAAAATACTAAAATTGAAAATACGGATTTTATTTCATCAGTATTTCTCAATATTTCACTTATAGGTATATGATAAAGCAATTTCTTTTTGGTTTGAATTTTAGTTTCTCTATTTTTTCATGGGTCAGCCTATAACCTCTATATGTGAACGGATAAAAGAATATACCTCTATTTATTTATTTTTATTCATTTTTGTATTTATTTATCTATCTAATTGTTGTTGTTGTTGTTGTTGTTGTTTTCTAGTGGGGGAGTAAGCAGTTGACAGTATGCAATTGGCAGTAAGCAGTTGACAGTAAGCAGTAGGCAGTTAACAGTAGGCAGTAGTTAGTCATAAGTAGACAGTAAGCAGTCAACAGTTGGCTGTCGTTTATGGAATTCCATGTTATAGTCCATGCATTTATTAATTTATCAGTAAATTCCTTTAAATGTTGTTCTAAGAATATATATGTACCTGTAAACTATCAAAGTAAATTAGGAGGCAGAAAAATACCAAGGGTCCAACCGGGTTTTTAACCACAGACCTCTTGGTCCGTAGACGGACACCTCAACCACGTCGTTAAAGGGTTAATCTAACAGCAAGGCTGATGGAAGTGGCCTATATACCTACAACCACTACACTCCTCCCCTTACTTTTCAGAGCTAGCCAGCTCTCCTGAATGTCAGTCCCTGCTTACCGCATTAGTCCGTCAAACACTTCTGACACCATTTAAGTAAATTAGGAGGCAGAAAAATACCAAGGGTCCAACCGGGTTTTGAACAACAGACCTCTTGGTCCGTAGGCGGACACCTCAACCACATCGCTAAAGGGTTTACCCAACAGCAAGGCTGTTGGAAGTGGCCTATATACCACTGCACTATATTGTGCATGACCTCCAGAACGGCAACTATTTAGGCAACTGAATAATTTTTTTACCAATACATTTGTAAAAGGTCGTCCATTTTTATTTTAATGCTATAAGCAGTGAATAATAAGTAGTAAGCCGTAGGCAGTTGACAGTAAGCAGTAGGCAGTCAATATTTGGCAATTCCATAGTTTATTGATTCATTAATGTTCCCGAAGAAATATTGAGATAAACATAAATAGTTATGAAAGTATAACAATTCTGTCATAAACCTAAATCAATACACCGCATAGTTACGAATATCGATCAACAGATCAATTGGGTATTATTTAATACTTACATGTAGTAAAGCCTATCTAGTCAGATTATGAACAGGTATAATATAAAATATATATTAAGATATAGTTCCCCCTTAGCATTAATAAGCGGTTTGCTCAGTTATGTCAAATAATAAATTAACAAACATACATGTATATCCAAATGTTTTTGTTGATGCATTTTGTGAGAAAGTTTGATCTCACATCTGGTCCGTGGTTGAGAACCAAATCCATCCCTTTAATCAAAAACAGTTTCTATGGCCATATAAGGTTTTTGCCATAGACCGCGAAATACAACTTTTGTTTGGTTTCTAGGATATGTTTTCATGTGTAAATGGTATAAACTTTAAATGTTTTAACACTTACTTTTTGTGTCAGTTCCATCTGTTACTTTCCTACCAAGTGCGACATTTAGCGTCAAGGGGTTGCGACGTTTAGCGGCAATCAATTTTTGTGCGACATATAGCGGCAACGTTGCGACATTAAGCGGTAGGCGATTGCGACATATAGCGTTGATTGCGACATATAGCGTCAGCGTTGCGACATTTAGCGTTTAGTTGCGACATATAGCGGCGTTGCGACATATAGCGTTGCTACAACCAGCAAAAAAATACATATTGAAGCACAACAAGTGATTTCGGCTCTGAGAAAAAAATGATTTTACGAGCTAATAACACATAAGGCATGTCAGAAGCACAATATACCATTATTTAATCTCTTGCGATTTGTGCGAGAAGTTTGAGGACTTGTGTAAATCGAGACAAACCTCAATGAATGGTATCTCTCTTGAATTTTCATAATTCGAATTTATCAATTCTTCTTATCTCAGTTAAGTATTAAAATATATTCAGGATCTCTGCTTGTTTTTTCTTTCGATATTAAACTCTCTTTTAGGGACATAGCGCTTAAAGGTTTTGCCAGATCACTTCGTCCTGGATTTCATAACTAGTTTAAGCAGCAGCACGGATTGTGGACTTTGAGATAAAACAGGTTGCCCTGGTTATTATGTAGAAACTGAGTAGAAATGATAAAATGAGAAAATCTAACTGAAATTAATTACTCCTTGTAAAGAAAGGATAATATGCTCCTTAAATAAATAGCCCTATGTAAATTTTAGTCTTGATTAAGTTAATATATATACAAAACATACATGTACATACATTGGTTTTTATTTTGATAGAAGATACACAAATGTAGTAATTCTATGAACGTTTTTTACCAATAAAAATTATTAGTTATTAGTACATGTACAGTTGTAGATTAGTACATGTACAGTTGTAGAAGTTTCCATGACATGACAGTCATTTGTGTCGAAAAAGGTAACCACAACTCAGAGATAGTGAGACATTCGTTCCTTCGTCCTGTATTATCGAAATACACCTTGTTACTATACATTAGTATACATTATAACACTATATAATAAGCTATGAATTTATTACAGGAACACTGTTTCACAGGTAGAATAGTGTGTTTAATGTGGAACAATTTCTTACACTTTTCAACACAGTTCTTATAACAGCTTTATCCAAAAGGGGCAGATTTTAGAAAAAAAATATGTGTTTAACAGTGATGTATACATGTATTCATGGCGGTCTATTCTCCTGGTTTATTTTTTCTCAAAACATGTTAAATGATCATGTCTCTTTAGCATTATGCATTTGACATTGAAATAAACTAGATGTGAATAGAAAATCAGATATATTTCGTATTGCACAACCAAGAACGCATGGTGTCTTACACATCGCGAACACTAGCTGGATGACACATCGAATTAATTTTCAACCTTTCAGATAAAAGATAAAACTTACACTGCATCTATATGTAGTAAGTATTACATGATAAGTTTTTTCCCTCAAATAAAACAGTTATTGTTTATCAAGAATGATTACACAAAAGAAACATACGGTTGTTCCAATGAAAGTGACAGTGAAGAATATTAATGCTATTTTATCAACGGCGTCTACAACCATGTCCCAAGTACAAGGTGATGTTTCCTTGACATTTTTCGTCTCCTTTTTGTTATCGCTCTTGCTATCCGAATTTATTTCCGTTGCAGTGCTTTCAATGGTATAGACGTTGTCAGATTTCAACTTTTTCTTGCGGCATACCTTGCTAATTTTAACTAGAAACACAAGACAACGTGGTACTGTCGTGTCCTTGTCCATTAGTTCTGCTTTTGTTAAAAGTACAGATAAAATTGTGATGATTGTTGACTGGGCAGTTTGAACAACTAGATATATCGAAAACAGTGATATCTTCTCGGAATTCGGAGACATAACAGAATCTACAATAGTCAAGTAGACGGAGAAAGCAAGGAACACTGTAACTGCGTATCCTGATCTATCACCCCCGTTAGGTATCGCAAACACGAAAAGTCCTAAAATGGTTAGCAACAAAACTGGAAGAAATAAAGTCAACAGTGCATGCTGGGGTTTCCGCTTTAACTTTAATTCATATATTAAGACATCTATGCCAGCTCTTTTTGAATAGTTTACTCTTGTTTCTAAGATTTCCCATAAAGGATTTACATCGTAATACCTCAATGATATTTCACCTTCACGTGCTTTAAGGTGTACCTGCAATGAGACAGAAAAATTCAGTACGTACTAGTACACTTAAGGTCATGTGTAAATGGTCTCAATGTACCAATATCAATTATTGACCCAACCATGCTGAAATAAATAAAGTTGAGAGACATGGTTTTAAATTCCTTTCATTCAGTTTCTTAACAAACACAAAATACATGTTCATTAAATTTGATGTAACGTGAAAAGTAAATAATGTCAGTGATGATTATTCCCACCCTGACTGTTGATCACATCCGTCGTTGCACGAATTTGACATAAACTTGTACATATTTTGGTACAGATATGGCAACTCTTGATAAATTACTGAATTTCGCAGAGGTCTTGACACTGCCCCGTCCTCCCTATGTGGCGATGCAATTCATCCCGTATTTTTTCTCTCCATGATTTTTGTGGCACGTCTGTGAAGTTGTAGAACTTTATGTCACGCCCGTGCAGCGACGTTAACAGGCTTTGATAGTCATAGAATAATTATCACTGACATGAATATCATATCATAGCAGTGAACTGCACCGTTTGAAAATATTTCCCCAATAATGAGCGACATGCTAGAGCAATTTTATATCCCAACAGTATATTTCGCTCAACTATACATGATTTAATTACATTTACATGTGATTAGACACTCAATTTTGATAAATTGTTTCTTTTTATCAATGCGCGTGCGTCAATGGCATCATTAAACTTTTATGATGGAATATTCTGCTAATTGTCTTAACTATTTATTTGCTCCAACTCCTAGCTAACCTTTTCAATGAATCTCGTGTACAATTTATGTATTTATGATTGAATATTGTTTAATGGCTTAGTCAAAATTTAACAATTCCTTCACTGTAATTGCAAACTTAAACTGTAGCTATTAAATCATAATTTGAGCTATTAAAACTTTTTAAATAGAAAGAATTGACGTCTGGAATTGTGTATCTGTTACTGAATATAGAAATATCGCAGTGATAGAGAAAAGAAATTAAATATCAATACTTTGATCAATTCTTAGCAAAATGAAGAAAAAAAACCAGACAATTTCGCCTTATGTGTAATCACTATTTCATTACTGAAATAAACAAACAAAACTGAAAAATAGAGTGTAACTATCCGAAATGTAACTTTGGCTGATTAAAATATATTTTACTTCTATTTCTGTAGAGTGTCCACCAACGCTTCCAGGTTCATACGTTATCTGTTTATCATTTACAAGTAGAAGATTACCGGAGTAGAGGAAAATATGAAAAACAACATCAACAAAGAAGGGAGACATTCAACGAACACATCCTCCAACACAGGACCATCGGCAAGGAGCCCGGATGGACACCAAACAGGACGGGGCACACGGGCTTTAAATAGACGGGATGTTATTATAAAACAGGAAATCATAAAAACTTACAAGAGGAAACGGGGTGAAAATTAATTAATGAAAATATACCTAAAAACCTACAAAAGGGTAAGGGCGAACGGGAAGAAGGATGACAGAAGGAAGAAGAAGGGGGCAATAGACGGGTATGGTGTGGGTAAAATTAACAAAAAAATAAGGAAAAGGGAAGGTTATCACAGTAGAAGAAAAACGTAAGTGACACACTAGTATCACCACAATTACATGTAACAATAAACAAGATGTACATCTAATGAATACAGGGGCGCACCACCTTGTAACAGCATAAGTACTGCTAAGGAGTTTAAACCGGTTATTGGTGCACCAAACCTCACTCATAGCCTCACAATGTTCCTTTTAAACGAGACAATATAAATAAAATGAATCCCCGCCAAGCGTAATTTTTACAAGTCTATGGTTACAAAAGAGATAAATAAGTAGAACACAGAAGTGCTCATGTAGATACATATAAAAGTAAACACAATGACTATAACAAAAGTATCCAATGTCTTAAAGGAAGACAGAGAAACAAGAATATCACCTACAAGCTCCTTCCCCCTCGATGAAGCATGGCAGAAGATGAAACAATTCAGTTCGATGGGCTTTTAGAACTGTCCATCATAGTCTCTCACTTGGTCTGTCAGATGTAATCAAAAGAGGAAAGCGTAGTGTCCAACTGTTAAACGGGCTGAACACTAACCATGCAGTATGTCTTAAGATAGTAAGGTCATAACGTATTTTATAAAAACGTTTTAATATCTTAAAAAAGGCAACATAAATATTACCATGACTCAAAAAGTTTGTAAATCCCATCTCCATAGAAATCAGGCTTGCTAATCCCTAGTCGTAGACGAGTTTTCAAATCGCTATTGAATTTGATATAAAATCGAAATTACGATTATAAAATTTAGGAAAATATTTCCATAATTTATGATAAATGTAGCCCTTTTTGAGAAGTTTGCTAGTAATTAAAAATATTCCGTTCGTGAAAATCTTTTACATCGCTACAAACCCTGGCTAATCTTATTAACTTAGATACATATACCCCGTAAGATGTTGCATGGGGTGCATCTGGATTAAGTATTGATAATTGACTATACCAAAATCAAAGTCATCTATCTTATAATAGATTTTTATGTAAATAGTATTGTTTTGAAGATCCAAAAATGATGTGGTAAATATCAAGAATGCGTTTTATTCAGTTGAAGTTCTTTGGGATAGATATCAGAAACCATTTGATCAAAATAAGAATTATTTAAATCAAAAATTTCATAAATGTATCATGAAGTGTTATTAAATGCTATTATAACATCTTGTTGTGTATTTTCAGAGAGACTCAACATAAAGTCTCTTCTATAGCAATATTAAAACAAATCGGAGACGAAAGGTGCACAATAAGTACCCATAGAAATTACTATGACCTGTTTAAATAGGATATTATCAAATCTGACATAAATTTCGTATAAAAGAAAAGACTACAAGATCTTCAGGTCCACATATTGTAAAATGTTTTACGATACCATTTGTAAAGAAAAACCTTTAGTTGACTGTTTCCGTGCTGGCACAAGGATTGATCCATTGATCTCCAGGTTAACCAGTCTAGATGGCTTTGTTTGTTTTACTATCTTCATCAAAGATCAAAATATGATGTAAACATTCTATAAACTTCTTTATTTACAGTGATATAAATGCCGGTGTGAGCAGGACCTACAAATATCTTATCTTATAGGAAAGTTTTGATGGCGATATTATATGGACACTTGTTTTGTTATGGTTATTTGTAAACGATTGCTTTAACAAGAAAGGCTCCTTACGCTAACATAGCTCCAAGACATAAACTGTATCTCACAAGTTTGAACATCATATGGGAAATATCTCATGTCTATATCGCAGGACGTTTCAAACATCTGAAATATTGTAAAGTTCATAATAACATGTTGCAGTTAAATGTTTCAGAAATTAGCATAATAACATCATATGTATATGTGTATATCATTGTAATTATATGATTACATGATTTTGCTTGTTTTAAATATTAGTATATTTGTCCCAAAAGTCCATGACAAATTTCATTGGCCGCCAGTGAAATATAATTCTTACATATTATCTATGAATGTATCATTTAACATTCCCTTTATTCATTAATAGAATATTTCTCCAATTACTTTTAAATGCTCATGAATAAAGACATCTATATTCTCGGCCCACGTCAATTTGTTCTGTATTTTATTATGAGTATGTTTGAATTAATTATATATGTTGTACTTGTATTTCAAATATTAGGTGTTACGTCTGAAACAATCATGTTGCTTTCTAATGTTTTGTTAGGACATCAAGATTGCACCTGTTTACAAACAGAATAGTTCAGCAACATATCGAAAGCATATATTTACAAATAACAGAAGTAAGAAATCTGCGATAAAGAAAAGAAGAGTAGGAAGACCAATCTCTACTGCCAATTTCTCATGGTAAAGGTTATGTTCAGTTGATTCTAGTTCATGACTATTTTACAAAATCTATTTTATTAAGATTCTAATCTGTTTTGTCACAGAATATTGGGACTGCCCACGTTTAACAATTAAACTATAATTGCTATAATTATTAATGCATATCAGTTCGCAATAGGGCTTGAAAGGAATCTAACGTATTCCACAACAGTTGATTTTTTTCTCCAGTTTTTGACACTTGCGTGTCACATTGAAGGTTCCATGATAACCGCGGTATGGTCACATCTTCCGTGAACGGCGGGAACACAGTGTTAACGCAGCATTAATTTACAATTCACATAGAGAAACTTTATGATACTTTGCTAAAGTGTTATCGCAAACAAAATTCTTACCATTATTACATTCACTCCACCCTATTTCAACTAACCGGCTGGTATGTTGAACAGCATTAAAATGACAGGTCTAGTGTTTATTGTAATAATGAAATAACAAACAGATTTATCTTTGCTTCGTTTAATACATGTAATAGTGTTTTGACAGTTATATGAAAATGTTTCCATCTTTTATTAGTTACCCAGCGTTACTGGATATACACGGTGCTTTTCAGCTACTATTACCTGTCACCTGTCCTGTTGTTTTGTTGCTGTTGTTGTTGTGTGTGTGTGCGTGCGTGTGTGCGTGCGTGCGTCTGTTTTATTTTTATTTTTTATTTGTGGTTGCTGTTCGACAATATAAAGTTCATAACAAATGCACATTTATCGCTTTATGATTGTATCAAAAAGGGATTTTCTGTTCGCTTCTAAACAAAACGTGCGTTATAATATGTTTTAAAACAAAACTCCTTTAAGTCATTTTATCACAGAATTTTGGTTCTAACTTTATTTAAAAATCAAGAAATCTTCAGGTTAAGCAAATCATTCTCAGAAACAAGTCAACATAAAAGTAAGTAAATGTGATAAATCCTGTTGAATTGGCATTGTGGCGGATATTGTTTTAAATACATGATTGGGTACTATATGTTTTATGATATCATTATAATTAGTTTATAAATAAAAGGATTTTATTTAATCGTCTACATACCTCTAGAGGGAACCACTTAATAGTGCCATCATTAAAGTTTTCTACCATTAAAGTTTCATGTCCTAAACTTTCATAGGACCTTACTGAATTAGCCAGAATTATGTCTGGCTTCCATACATCGTTCTGAAATAAACAAGAACATGTTGTGGTTAGCTCAAATACATACGGCTTTGCCCTGTGGCTAGATTTAAATAATATTTACAACCACTGATATAAAACCATACAACCTATCAAAAACTTTTTAACTTTGTCTAAATAGATAATATGTGGATTGTTCTAATATGAAATGCATCTAGAACTTAAATTATATTTTACTCTCAAAAATAATGCAAACACTACGGGATCATTAAGTTAGTTTTAAACTGATACCACAAGAGGGTTAATGCGAGTTTGTTCTTTCATTTACATGTAAAAATCACGAAGACGCATTTAAACCAAAGCCGCAGTGCGAGTGATTTAATAAGGCCGGGATCTTCTGCATATGTTCAAGCACGAACAAAGGTGCATTAGCGCTGTTCACATCTCAGAGGTAATTCGACGTTTCGTTATTTGTATTTCGTATAAAGAAACCATGGCTTTTGTCGTGCTTTCCACGTGCTAGTGCAATGTCATTTAAAAGATATATTTAAAAAACAACTTTGGATGAAGAAGCTGTTTTTTACATTGCGCACTGAGTTACGTGTCGTAGGATGTAATTAAACGTGCAACAATGACAGGTAGTCACGAGAGCCTAGATAAGTTAAAGCATGTTTTGATCTGCAAAATACCATATATAAACTATGCTCACTCACTTATGCTGCAACTGAAGATTGCTAAATTGTTTCTCACGTATACGACTGTGACATAGATTCAATATTAAGAATCGTCTTAAAATTGACATAGGTGGCAAGAAATGTGCTCTGTTTATGGAAGTTAATAGATTATTTCTTTTCTATAGTGATTCGTTGCTTTAAAAGATGCAAATGTGGGATAAATTAGTTCAAACATAAGATTCACCACATGACTGTCGACCAAGTAACGTATTAAAAAAACAAGAGCGATCTGAGCTAGTTATAGAGAGAGGTGTGAAAAGAGGACATCAAATAAAGTGTTCATTGGAATGTATCAAAATAGTAGTAAAATAAGGGCAATGCTTAATGATATATGTAACTAGAAATGGGAAAATACCTGAGGCCAGTATGTTATATATAAATAGTCGTATTCTGTTCTATTCCATTTTAAGAATGTATCGTTCCATTCTATGACCATGTAAGATGATGTTTTCAATGTTTCTGTTACTTCATCTAAATCAATTATCGTTTTAAGAACAAACGACATTAGTACACCTGAAACATAAAAAAGTCTCAGAAGATGAAGTGAAAACAAATATATTTCAGCCAATGTAGTACTAAACTTTAGTCCAATAAACTTTAGAACACAAAATCACAAAATTATTTAAAAACAATCAATCAAAAACAACAACAACAACAACAATAACAAACATAGACTCTTTAATGTCATATATGAACTTAAACCGAATTCAAAGTCTTGGGCTAAGTCTGTTATGATTTTGTTACAATCTTTAGGTTTCAATGAAGTATGGATTAATCAGGGCGTTGGTGATATAAATTTATTTTTAGCAGTAGCAAAACAAAGATTAACAGATACATTTATACAAAATTGGTATGCAACTTTAAGAGATTCATCAAGAGCAAGAAGTTATGTATTATTTTGTGATTTTGGTTTTAAGTTTTAAGTCATATCTGTCAATGGTTAATATTGAAAAATTTAGGAAATCTTTATCACGTTTCAGGACTTCTTCGCATAGATTAAAAGTAGAAACTGGTAGATGGCATAAACCTGAAGCAATTCCTTATAATGAAAGAAAATGTAATATTTGCTTAAAACTAGAAGATGAATTTCATGTATTATTAGAATGTCCACAATACAATGTTTTGAGAAAACAGCTCATAGATAAATATTATTGGAAAAAACCAAATATACCAAAATTTATTGAATTGTTAACATCTCAAAATGAAAATGTTATAAGAAAATTATCAATGTTTATCTTTAAAATGTTTGAATTAAGAACAAATGTTGAATATTCGTAAATTATAGTACCTAGGAAGGTAAATGTAATGTTACTTAATTGATATCATTATGCAAAACCTGTGCTTCATTTAAACCTTGCTGTAATATGTTATTCTGTTCATATTAAAGCAAACTTATGACTCAAATATACAGTAAATGTTAAATATATGTTATATATGTTTAATGACCTTGATATTATGTTTCTGTATGTATGTATGTTTGTATATATGCTGTGTGCTCATGGGTATAATACCCACATGTATTTGGAATGAAATCTTGAAATCTTATGATCAATCAGGCGGAAATTGATCTGATTGTGTTTAAAACTTAATATGATGATGGTGATGTTTTTTATTGTGCTGCAAAAGTAAGTAGCCTGGATCTGAATTTGAAATCTGCAAAGCTATTGCTGAAAATTTCCAAATGTTTCATTGATTGTTAAAGGTAGTGATAGTGTTAACAAAGTAAGCAAACCATTAGGATCGTCTGTTAAAACAGAGCCGGGCTAAGTTAACCGCAGAAGAAATTTTATACATCAAAGAAATATCGCAACTTCAAGTTTAAAGCTGCACGCCTCCAGATGAGCCAAAATATTTCAAGAAAATGAAAATTGAGAAAAATGTACTAATATTTAGTTTTAGTTTAAACATATTTTATTTCTCAGAATATATATACATGTTATAATTCACAATATACAGATGCAATTCAAATATTCTTAAAAAAACAGGATTAGAATGAAAGACAACATGTCTTATGAAATTCTTCTCCTAAGTGAGTAATTGACATGTAATAGGCGCTTAAATAATTACATATTTTATAAGCTGAGACGAATATAATATAGAAAAAAAAATCTTGAAAACAAAATATATTAGAGAAAAAGAAAACACAGAAATTGATATGTATTCAAATGCTTTAAGAAACATTGTATATGTTCCATTGAATATATTTAGGCTGAATATATATATTTAGAATGAATATATTAACATTCAAATAAATATTATCATACAAAGTAGAATAGTATTTGAAAATAACACAGAAAGGTGAAAAGGTAGTGAAAAAGGAGAAAGATAAATAATAAGGTATAAAGTATAGGAATATAATGTTTAAGTGTTTGGGTGTTAAATGAATCTTTTTGTCTCTTGGATGTAAGTGTGTACGTGTGAAAAAATTATGTCATTAGTTTGGTCAGAAAGGTCTGGGTTGCCTAAAAGTAGAACATTTAAATCAATGTCAAAGTTATTTAAATTTCGAAGTAACTTTTGTCGAGCTGTGTCAAATTGTGTACATTCGAAGAAGAAATGAAAGTTATTTTCTATTTGGCCGCAAAGACATAAAGGTGATGCAGTTATGTTTTTCAAAAACAAATGGTAGTTTAGAGAACTACACTTTGTTCGAAGTCTTGTATGAAGAATTTGAAGTTTTCTTTCACCAGACAAGTAATACTTAGGCGTGTGCCGTGTGTTTTTCTTCAAATTTTGTTTAAATGATGTGATAGTTGGAAGGTTACGGACGTCGTGTGGAAGATTATTCCATTCCCTTATTGCAGTCGGAAAAAAAGAGTTAAAATAAAGTGTAGTTCTTGCATATATTCCCGGAATATTGTCAATATTTCTTAGGTTGTACCTATTATTAGTTGATGTTGGGAGAATTGAGAAAAGATAATCTGGAGCTAGTCCGTTTTGAATTTTAAAAAGTAAGATCATTCTATGTATATATCGTCTTTCTTCGAGAGATTCCCAGTTTATTTCATTTGAAAGATTTTCGAGTGAAACAAGTCTTGTACATCCGGAAGCAATACGAGCACATTCGTTTTGGATTTTGTTAAGTTCGTCTAATTCAAAATTTGTAGCATTTCCCCATATAACATCAGCATATTCAAGTAATGGACGAATGAAAGAAATGTAGATTGTCTCTAGTGATTTTCTATCTAGGCGAAATTTAAGTTTTCTCATAATATTTACCCTATTCCATGCTTTATTTGTTATATAATCTATATGTGAGTGCCATGTGCAGTTATTCGAAATTAAAACTCCAAGATGTTTGTGGTCGGAAACTTCAGTAATAGTCTGATTATTCATTTGTAGTTCTGGGTGTTGATTTGGATATCTCTTTCTAGAGACTAATAAAGACTCAGATTTAGAAGGATTAAATGAAACAAGCCATGTATCTGCCCATAATGAAATTCTGTCTATATCCGACTGTAATGTGATAGCAGCTGTTTGTGGATTTTCAACAACAAGATAAAGACTAGTATCATCGGCGAATAAATTGATACAAGATTGTATATCTTTAACAATATCGTTAAATATGAGAAAGAGGAGAGGACCAAGAATTGAGCCTTGGGGGACACCAGCTGAAAGGTAACCAATAGACGATTTAGAATTAGAAAGGACAACACGTTGTTGTCTATCTTTTAAATATTCGAGAAACCAAGTATAGACCTTTTTTATATAATCGTTTTCTTTTTCGAATATGACTTCGTATAGTACTTGTCATCCACGGAACATCGGAAGGGCGAATATATATCATCTTATTAGGAATACAATCTTTGGCAATATCTAATAATTTATCTGTCATTTTGTTAGTATATATATTTATGTCAGTATCAAAGCAATTGTTCCAGTTAGTAATCTGTATATCATTTCTTAACTTTTCATAATCACCACGCTTATATTCCCAAATAAATCTTTGAAAAGATTTTTGTTTATACTTTTTAAATTTCAAAAAACAATAAATTGGAATGTGATATCGCGAATCTTGATCTAGGAAATGTTCACCAACACCAGAATGAAGAATGTTTTCTTTGTTGGTTACAAATATCAAGTCAATAATTGACTCAGAATTTTCAGTAAAATGTGTGGGTTCTTCGATTAGTTGAGCCAAACTAAATTGTTGTGTAAGCGCTGAAATTTTTCTATTTGATAAATTGTTTAAGACATTATAGTTAAAATCCCCAGTTATAATTATATTTGTTTTATTAGTATCAACAGCAAGAGCAATTGAGTCTTCAATAAGACCGTTGTAAATTGCATCCGAGTTTGGTGCGCGATAAAAAACTCCAAAAAGAATATGTTTGTTGTTTTCGAGAATAAGTTCAATCCAGATATTTTCAAGAAAGTTAAGTTCAAGATCACGTCTTCTGGTGTAATGTAAGTTATTTTTGATATATACTATAACTCCTCCATAAGTATTTTGTACGCGATCTTTACGTTCGGGACTAAAATATGATGTAAGAGCGAGATCTTCGGTAGGTATATTCGGACAAAGCCATGTTTCAGAGAAAGCCAGTATATCAAAGTCACGAAGTTCTGAATAAATTAAGTCAAGTTTATTACGAATGCTTTGGACGTTTAAGTGGACGAACGAAAGGTGATGTTGAATATTAGTAAAATCGGACTGAGATTGGTCTGAGCATGTTGAAAACAATGATTCGGGGCCAGGGTTTTATGGACATCACCGGCCATCAAAATAAGTAAGTATAGCCACATACAAAAGACAGTAATAAATAAGGTCTCTATAAATGCATATGTAAATTTTATGTTTAATTCAAGTTTGTCAAGATTTGGAATTACATTCTTATAAGGAAGTTTAATTAACCTATGTTTGTTGGCAGCAACTAATAAACCATACTGTAATGACAAAGTTGATATAGGGCAGAAAAATGTATATAGACATAACAACAAATGAGTGAATAGAGGAAACAACCCATAATACCTGTATGGACAAGTGACAGCAGTATAATATTTATAGTTGACTATGTTATAGATGATAAGAGTATCAAGATTATGGATTCTGCCGTCAGGACCATACAAATGTTAGACACGTTGAGAAGAATGTACACATTATTTATCTGTTTATCGTTATATGAAGATCTTGAGACTATGATTTGAGATAAATGAGTTGAAGAAGAGATTGTGAGTAGATGAAGTAAAAAGGAAGATAGCATATTTAGAAGTATATTTGAGAAAGAAAAAAAAAATGAACTTGAGAATAGATGTGAAAAATGTAAATTGGTATAATAATATGTCGAGATATGATGGAATTGATGAGATAATAAGATATATCTGAACATATTTGATAATTGATTAAATACTTTTCTTAAAACAGTGTGTTTTCTATATCAGAATTATTTTTTAAGGCATGAAAAAACAAAAAAAAACAAAAATGGAACATGTGTGATAGAAATATCATTTTGCTGAAAGCAAGGAAATGATTATAATGTTAATGTTTGGAGACACATACACATCGATATTTG